CTAGTCCCGCCCAGGGTGTAGGCTCGAGGCGTGCCAACATCATCAATTTCTGCTCACCTAGTTCAGATCAGAACTTAATGGCTAGATCAAAATGAACACGGAGAAGTGGGTTTCTTCTTGAATATTACTTCTTCAGGAATAAGATGTTTTAATGGTGTAACTCATTGATAATGAAGAATATCGAAGCGCAAGGTGAAGTGGTTCCGACGGGCTTTTCCACCTCTTTTCCAGATGGATTTATCCTCCATAAAGACCACTTTCCTTTTCTTATTTTGATTTTCTTTCTCTTCTTTTTTTTCGGTTTGTTAAGTTTTGTCTTTCTATTCTGTTTGGTCTGGGTTTTTTACTAGACTGTTTTTGTAAAATTTGCTTATGATTTATTTATTTGAATAAATGGGCTTTAGCCCCTACCCTTTTAATTAAAAAAAATATATTTTAGGCATAGAATAATAATAATAATAATAATAATAATAATAATAATAATAATAATAATAATAATAATAATAATAATAATAATAATAATAATAATAATAATAATAATAATAATAATAATAATAATAATAATAATAATAATAATAATAATAATAATAATAATAATAATAATAATAATAATAATAATAATAATAATAATAATAATAATAATAATAATAATAATAATAATAATAATAATAATAATAATAATAATAATAATAATAATAATAATAATAATAATAATAATAATAATAATAATAATAATAATAATAATAATAATAATAATAATAATAATAATAATAATAATAATAATAATAATAATAATAATAATAATAATAATAATAATAATAATAATAATAATAATAATAATAATAATAATAATAATAATAATAATAATAATAATAATAATAATAATAATAATAATAATAATAATAATAATAATAATAATAATAATAATAATAATAAGGCTTAAGTCATATGTTGCCCCTTAAAGTTGTCTGCATAATTCATTTAAACACATCAACTAAGGCTTGTACCTAGTGAACACCTATACCCCTTAAAATTGATACCTATTTGACATTTTTGTGACAATCAGCCAAAAATATGAGATGTGTGTACTACACTCGCTGTGACATGGCAGTGACATGGCAAATTGATGAATTAAATGATGACATGTGGCATTTGAGTCCAAAAATTTATTTAAAAAATAAAATTCTAATTATTATTTTTACTATTTTAGTCTATTTAATTAACTAAAAAAATTTATAAAGAATATTCTAAAAAAACCTCACTCACCCACCCATGGCAAACACTCATTTTTCTCTCCAGCTAGATCCAAACGGCCAAACCGTAACATCCCCGTCACACAGTCCCTCCCACAATCTATGTTTCTCAACTATAATCTTCTTCTCTTCATCCGGTTTTAGTACAAGGAATATGAATAATGTTTCACCGTATAATTATGAATTCCTATCACCATGACCGAAAAAAATGGTGTTATTTAAAATATTTTTTTCTGAATTTCATAACTGATATTTTTTTGAATTTGAAGAACTCTTCGTTTTTTTTAACTATCAATTTTAATCCATTGATGTGATTGTTTATTGTTGGATTACATTGACATAAGTTTATGTCGGGAACGAACCTTGTAGGAAAAAATTAAATTTCACCAGAAACTACAGTTCTTAAATTTGATTCAAAAATCTAACTAGATATCTGCATAATCGATTTTAATATATGATGATGAATTGTGGTAAAGTTAAGAAAGAAGAAGAAGGTAAAAAAAAATGCCAAAAAACTATATTAAAAATTATTGATTGTAACAGTGTTTCAGATGAAAACAATGATGGTAAGGGAAAGGAAGAGATGGCTAATGAAAAGAGAGAGAAGAGAATGGTGTATGGCGATAGGGGCGATGGTGGCGATGTCGTCGGAAATGGGTGGTGTTGGAAAAAAGTGATATGGCTAAAGAAGAAAGAATAAGAAAGAGATTTTTTTTTTAAAATTAGCTAAAAATTGCCCCTTCACGCGCTCCTATGTATGTGTGTTGCACTCTCTTTGCCATGTCAGCGAAAAGTGTTCAATAGATACTCATTTTGAACAATAAAATTGTTCAATAGGTACAAGCCTTAGTTGAGGTATTTAAATGAATTATGCGGACAACTTTAAAGGGCCGCATATGACTTTGTAGTCATCATAGCAAAACTGAAGGTTATCATCACAACAAAGCTAAACTTATTTCACTAGTTGTTAGGTGTAATCGACTTTGTAGTATTAAATATTGAAGTTTTAATTTGTTGATCAGTGAGTGAGAGGGTGTATTATGTATTGAAGTTTGGTCAGTCAAAACATAGAGTTATTAGCCTTTGTTGAGTTCATCAGTTTAAGTAAATCGATGTGTTTAATGTGTTGAAGAGTTTAAGATTAAAGATATTAGTCTTGATTGATTTGACTAGTTGGAGTAAACTGGTGTGTTTGATGCATTGAAGAGTTTAAGACTAGAGTTATTAGTCTTGATTGATTTCATCAGTTGGAGTAAATTGATGTGTTTGAGTATTTGGAGAATTTAAGACTAGAGTTATTGGTCTTAATTGAAAGTAAATTGATGTGTTTGAGAAACTAAAGTTATTTCAATTTGATTATTGAGATGTAATTTAAAATAACTCTTTGAAGTTAGTGAAGATTGTTGGAAATCTTATACACTGTAGATCGTGATTAAGAATTTAGTCGTTTGGTAGAGTGTATAAGAACAATGCAAAATAGGGTGCATTGGTAATGCTTGCATTAGTAGTGCTTGCATTAGTAATGCCTACATTAGTTATGCAAGCATTATTTCTTGTACATTGTTTGGTTTGATGTATTAGAAATAACAAATCTTGCATAATTTCTATTAAAAATAGGGATAAGGGTCTGAAAAATACCCCAACTTTAGCCGAAATTGCTGTTACGATACCAAACTTTAATGAGGACATATTACTCCCCCCCCAGACTATTTAATACCGTATTTTAAACATATATATTTGCCCATGTGGACATAAAATATAATGCAAAATTATAAATAGTAATGTGTCCACGTGGGCACATATATACCTTTAAAATACACTATTAAATAGTTCAAGGGGTAAAAAATACACTATTAAATAATTCAGGGGAGTAATAGGTCCTCCATAAAGTTTGGTATCGTAACAGCAATTTCGGCCAAAGTTGGGGTATTTTCCAGACTCTTATCCCTTAAAAATACATATGTTTACAAAAATACCCTTCACACTTTATTTATTTGTACACTTCCTTTGCAACAAAGTTCTTTGCTAAAACATAAAAAAAAAAATCTTTGCTAAAACATCATTAACTCTTCTTCTTTTTTTCAAAAGTAATATCAAATAGTTGTATTAGTGCGTCAAAATATTTTTGTGAAAAGTTGGCAAAAAAATTTTTTTATCAAATTTATTGTCACAATAGTAAAAAAATTGATTAAATTATATTGAAATTAGATTATTTTTTTAAAAAAAAAGATACTTAAGAGGCCATAAAACCTATTAAGACACCAACAAATTAAAAGACATTGAAAAGCAAATAAAAATAAAAATAAAAACTTATCACAACAAAGAAAATGAAAAGGCTTTAAGGTTAGTTTTGTAATTATTTAATCTAATGCAAGTGTTAAAATGCTATGTATTACTAATACCTAAAATTTCTTGGTATTAGTAATACACAACTTAATACACAATAGAGTGTATAACTAATGTTTACGTTAGTTATACATGACATGAAAACGTGTATCAAACAAGGTACTACTAATACACACACCTAGTGCATGCATTATATTTCCTATACACTTTACCTAATGACCACAATTTGATTTCATACAGTGAACAAATATAGTTGGACATTTCAAAATAATATAGTGGACAACTATTGTTGAACGAGGGAGCAGTTCATAATATTTATTGGATCTATGTTTTCTGGTCAAGTTCTAGTCCTTTATTTTATTAAAATACATTATATTTACAATTATTTATATGGCAAATAAAGTAATTTATTAATATTTTTTAATTATTACAACACCTATTTTATAATTATAATTAGAAAAAAAATCAAGAACACATACTCGCATAGAATTTGAATAATCTTTAACACTAGAGCACAGGCAAGATCATAATCAATTCACATAGAGAAATCAGTGACATTATATATCTGTAAATGTATTTAAATATTTAATATTTATTTATTTAACCTTTATTATACTTTATATATTATAGATTGACTGATTGAATAAAAGGCGTCGAATCAGAGTTTGATCATTTTTTTGAAGATGGTTAATTATTATACTACCGGAAAAGAAGATGGTTATTCTAGAGGAATAATTGTACGAAGATCATACTGTTATTAAAATGATTATTACTATTATAAGTAAAAAAATTAGTAACAGAGTGATAAAATATATTGTTAAAAAACTAACTTATTTACTCTGATATTATTAGAGAGTATTGTTTCAATCCAAGAAATAATACTACTTCCTCCGTCCACCTTACTTATTCGGTGTTTGACTTGACACATTTCTTAATAAATACTAGTAATTATAATTATATATTAATCATCAAAATATTGAAAAATAAATAATAACAAGAATAAAATAGATATAAAATAATAAAGTTGGGAGTTGTAACTATTTTGAATAAACAAAATGGACGGAGAGGTTAAAAATAAATTTTTAAGTTGGGTTAATACATAATTTAATAAAGGATTAAGGAAAATGGGTGGAGGTTCCAACGGCAATTAGTCAACAATATTAGTATTATTATTCATATAGCCGAAATTTAGCCGGTGATCCCCACGTGTCAATCATCCTTTAGAAAAATGAAAACGAAACGCCACGATATGGACACACATGTTTCCGTCCAACAAACTCAAGTCTTAAATAATCAAAACTTACGTGTCCTTCTAATTCTCATCCCACGTTTCTTCTTATATATATATATATATATATATATATACACAAATAATCATTCCATTTACCCAATTATAATTAATTAAATGGTGCGGCCTAAAGTAAGCAAAGAGAAAAAAGTGAAAGGGGATCGTTACAAGGGTGTGCGTATGAGAAAATGGGGAAAATGGGTAGCTGAAGTACGGCAACCGAAAAGCCGTGACAGAATATGGTTAGGCTCTTACGATACGGCGGAAGAAGCGGCTAGAGCTTATGATGCAGCGGTGGTTTGCTTGCGTGGATCGTCCGCGATGATTAATTTCCCGGACGATCCACCGGTTATTTCGTGTGATGGTGATCATAAGTTGTTGTCACCTTCGGAAATTCAAGTTGAGGCATCGAGACATGCACGTAGTACTAGAGAAGAGTCTGCTGCAGCTGCTGATGATGCCGTAGACCACGGCAGATCAGCAGCTGTGGAGAGTGTGTTTTTTAGAGATGATTTGGAGTTTGAATGTTCTTCTTTAGATCATGGTGAAGTAGTGTTGCATGATGATTTGTTTGATAGTGCTAGAATGTGGTCCTTTTGATGGATTAATTAATTCAAACACCTTTTGTTCCAACTTACTGCTTATTTCTACGTGGTTGTATTTGGACTAGATTAAAATTTATCCAAGTTTAGCTTGTATCCACTTAAAAGTCAATTTCCTTTTTTTTTGTTTTTATATATTATTATTAATCAAGTGTATGCGTTTGCATGTATGATGTATCGTGTTGAATTGTTAATTAACAGCAAATGTTAAAAAATATAATATGGAAAACCATCTAAAATGTTCCTCAAATTGGTACAAAATTATCGTCGCTGACCTTCAAATATCTCTAACGTCAATTTTTTGACTTATAATGTTCCTTTCTAACGGCCTAGTTCCTAAATAATATTAATGAATTCATTAATTACATATCTGGGTTATTTGAAATGAAATTTTTTACAGGTGGATCGAATATTGGAGGAGTAAAATCTGGTAGTAAATGTTGTTTAATTAATTTAAATTAAAATAATCATAGGGTGATATAATCGACCCATCATAAATGAAGTTGGTTATCAGGATTAAAATTTGGGCTCTTGAAAATAAGAGCAATAGGGCCAAAAGATTGACATAGGGAATATTTGGAGGTCGAAAAGATTGACATTTGAATATTTGGAGGTTAAAAGATAGACGAATAATAGTTTTTTATTAATTCAAATAGTTTTTACTAATTTACGTTTTTTATTAATTCAAATAGTTAAAATGGGTATTTTATTAATAGTTAAAGGGGTATTTTATTTTAAATCCTTTTGTATTTATCTTATATTATATTATAAGTATCATTTTTTTTTTTAAAATAACATAAAATTCTAAGATTAATTATCATATAAAAGAAAGTTTTCATTTAATATGGGAATGAGGGAGTAACTTATATGCCCTTGTACTTTTAGGGGTCGTTTGGTTTGAATATGAGTTATGATGGGATAAGTTATGTTGGGATAAGTTATGTTGGGATTAGTTATGATGGGATAAGTTGTCCTGAGATTATTTCTTATTGAGTGTTTGGTTTGTTATATTCAAAATAATATATATTGATAAATTTTAATAACAAGTTGTTTGTTTACAAAATTACCCTTCACTTTATTTAAACTTTTTAAATATTTCTTTGTGAGCTTTAGTTATTCATTTTTTAAAATAAAACTTTTATTTTATTTAACTTAAATATTTTTGTTTATGTATTCCCATGATAAGTACCATGTGTATTTAAAAATATAACTTTTTTCTTATTTAGCTTAAAAATAGAACTTCCCTCTTAAGTTTATTAAAGAGAAGAAAATTTATGAGAAATCAAAATAAAATAAACATAAGAATTAGTCAAATAAATTCATAAATAAAAATTATATTTATATAGTATAATTTTTTAATAGAAAAATATGTATAATTATCATAAAAATAAGGAGTAGTAAATATTATTAAAAAAAATGTAAATATACATAAATGTAAAAAATGATGTATAAAAAGGATTTAAAGGGACATATTTGTCATTTACCTATTTTATCTCGGGATAAGTTATCCCGGGATTACTATACCACCCATGGGGAGGGATAACTTATCCCGGTACTAATTATTAATCCCGGGATAAGTTATCCCGGACTTGCCAACCAAACAACATAATTTTTTTTTATCCCATCACTATTATTTCTAATCCCTCACACCAAACGAGCCCTTA